GCTGAGGGCGTGTGTCTCATGCAGTCATTTCCTTTCTATGGATAGCTGCATACATGGCAGTAGGCAAGGCAGGGGCTACATTCTTTCCTAAGGAAGCCAAATATCCCCATCTCTCTCAGTCACTCATACTTGGATTTCACTGCTGGAATGGTTAGGAGATGGACTTTATTTGACTATCTGCTCACAACTTCTTTACTGTTTAGGATGAGAAGCAATGTCACAAACTGAAACACAGGAAGTTCTGTCTGAACATAAGGAAAAACTTTTTTGTGGTGAGGGTGACAGAACACTGGAGCAGGTTGCCCAGAGAGGTTGTGGAGTCTCCATCCTTGGAGATATTCCAGAGCCATCTGGATAGGGTCCTGGGCAAGATGCTCTAGGTGACCCTACTTAAGCAGGGGATTGGACTAGATGATCTGCAGCTGTCCCTTCCAACCTCACCCCTTCTGTGATTCATACTAACCCTGAGGAGGCACCAGGTTTGTGTTGCTCACAAGAAGCTTTGCATCCTAAGGAGGCAAAACACTGAGCTGAGGGGTAGAGGTACAGTGAAGGTTTAGGCAGAATATCAAAATAAGAATAGAAGAATAGGGCTCTGCCTCATTGTTTTTAGCCTCAGGAAACTCATATTTAAAAGAAGCAGCTTGATCACTAGCTTTCTCTACAAAAATATGTGAAAGCCATTTCATTCAAACTAAATGTCCCAACAACATAGCAGAAGGGATCAGATGCCTTAGATCCTCCAAGAAGCCAAAACTCTCTGGTTTACTTGCAGCACAAATCCCATATGGTCTAATTCACAAGGAACCCAAACTAAACTCTTCCTGGGATTTTATAACTATTTGAGTTTTTTTTTTTTTTTTGCTGATTACTCAGTGAGACTATCATCTGTGAAAGGTCACGGCAATCGATGGAGATGTTTTGCCTTATAGCCCTGCTGTTGTTGCTTCCTCACATCCTGAGCGCATGTTAATCAGCAGTCCCTTTGGCTGGGCACATTTCAGGCACAGACAGGTTTGCTCCACAAACGCAGAGAATTGTGGATGTGGACATATCCCAGTCCAGATATGGACAGACTGGCATGGATAGACTGTCTTTTCCTAGTGCAATACCTCATTTATAGTATGTTTTTATTACATCGTCACTTTCATGAGAAACATACATATTTTTAGATGGCAAGCACTCTGGAGCCAGAACCTACTTTTTCTTCTATTTGTAGCGCCCCAGGGCCAACAGAGTCCTAGTTCCTTCCTGGGGCAATAGTAGACAGTACCATGAGGTAAACAACAAAATCCAGCCCGAACACGCTGCAGTGCTGACACACCGGTCCGATCAGCGCAGCCACCACCGCTGCTTCGGTTAGTAACGCCTCCAAAATGCTCCCCCTCCATGCTGAAATTTTCACTTGCTAACTTGATTTACTGGTGTTGGGCCTGCTGCTGATTTTTCCTTGCCGAGCGGCTTCTTAAGCCACCCCTCCCTTTTTTTCTCTCCTGTTTAATTTTGCCCAACTCCCTCAGATCCAAGAGGCTGAAAACCCTGCGGAGGCTGTTTAGCCCTGACGCTGGAGGCGAAGGCTGCGCCCCGGGTAGGAGGAGAGCAGCCTGGAGGCACAGAGCCCTGTATGAAGGCACCTCTGCCAAGCGTGATGTGGGGATAAACCCATCCCCGGGGGAGTTAAGCCTGGAGGGGGAGGATTTAAAGGCTCCTGTGAGGGTTTGGGGGGGGATCTTGGCGGGGTGGGAGGTGGCTTT